ATGGGAAGGACAAGTTATGGGGGTAGTGCTAGTTTTTCTCGCTAAATCTAAGATCACCGATTTAACTATTTAACATGAGCTTTAAACAATCTGGAACATAATATCGTAAAATTTGATCAGTTTGTAAATAGGTCTTGATAGAGATAGACAGGACCAGACTAGAGAAGAAAGACAAATGCGTGAAATTGCCCCCCGGTCCTGCAACCAAGAGAGAAAAAGAAAAACTGGAGGTTTCATTGATAAACATTTTGTTTTCAACTGCATCATTATGACAACAGCGATTTTAATCGTTTCATATAAATCTATTATTATATAATTTCCCACTAACAAGTTTTTACAGCTTGTTTTGTCCTAAGTATTTGCTCAGCCATTTCACCAAAAAAGTTTGTTGTCACACTTTACATTTGTTATAAATATTATAATTAGTATTTTGTATATTATCTACCATTTGTTGTGTTTATGTGTTGTTCAAACTGTAGTTAATAAAGAGTATTGAAATGTATTTGACTTATTTATGAATTTCACTACTGTGAACCCCTACAAGTTTTCCACAGACCTCTTAAGAACTTATTCCAGCCCCGGGGGTATAACCAGTCCGTTCAATTCACAACTTTAGTAAAAGCGACTACTCTGCATCCAACGAGGGAGAGACGAACTCGGAAACGTCGACGGGAGTCCCGGGAAGAGTTGCGCTTATGTAGATGAGGGTAAGGGTGTAGATTTGGTGCATCTGGATTTTCAGAAAGCATTTGACAAGGTGCTACATAAAAGGCTTGTAAAAAATTAGCTCTATACGTGTGGGGGATAAGTTAGCAAATTGGATAGAAGAGTGGCTGGATGGAAGAAAGCAGAGGGTTGTTACAAATGGAGTTCAATCAAACTGGATTAATGTCACAAGTGGGGTACCTCAGGGCTTAGTCTTAGGACCTTTGCTCTTTTTGATTTGCACCAATGACATAGATGAAGGAATAGTCAATAAATTACTTAAATTTTCTGATTATACTAAGGTATTGGGTGTTGCTAGCTGTGAAGAGGATGCTGCTGATTTACAAAAATATTTAGATCATTTAGTGAATTGGGCAAATAAATGGCAGGTGGGTTTTAATTATAATACATGCAAGATAATGCATGTGGGTTATC